TGATACATATGAATGTTGGCTGTGTATGGGGGTTGCTTGTGGAATTGTGTGTGTGGATGGATATGTCACATTGTGTGTTTGGTAGTGTGTGGGGGCTGTTTGGAGTATTGCACGTGAGATGATGCATGTGGGGTTGTGTGCATGCATGTGGATTGTTAGTGGTGTTGCGTTTGTGCGGATTGTGTGTATGTTTGTGTGTGGGCTGTTCATATTTGTATGAGGGGAGTGTTATTCTGCATTTCTGTGTAAATCTAGCAGTGTGGGTGGCTTCCCTGGGTTCCAATGGGGACCAGGCTGGCCAGGTACAGGTCAAGGACAGGAGCTGCAACAGCAGCTGCAGGCTGCTCTACTGCAGTATGGATTCCCATTCACAAGTGCTGGGAGGAAGTGATGACTGAAGTCTGAGATCACTTCCTCTACATGCTGCAATGCATAAATTGAGGATTGTCCTTCACCATCTCTTCGCTTTAGCAGATATCTGATACGGGGGCTCCTGATAGGCCAGAGCTTGTTTGGCTCTAGCAGCATTGAGTGCCGTGCAAAGACATCTTGTGTGCCGTGCATGGCACTAGTGCCATAGGTTGCCTACCCCTGCACTATTCTAATACAATTTTTCTTATTACTTTTTTGATACTCAGAAATCCTTCTATTTTTTTCTTTTTGTGCTATTTATTCCATAGGGGTTATCCCCCAGTTAGGAGGTTACCCCCCAGTTAGGAGGTACAGGTCAAGGACAGGAGCTGCAACAGCAGCTGCAGGCTGCTCTACTGCAGTATGGATTCCCATTCACAAGTGCTGGGAGGAAGTGATGACTGAAGTCTGAGATCACTTCCTCTACATGCTGCAATGCATAAATTGAGGATTGTCCTTCACCATCTCTTTGCTTTTTTACAATTTTTCTTATTATTTTTTTGATACTCAGAAATCCTTCTATTTTTTTCTTTTTGTGCTATTTATTCCATAGGGGTTACCCCCCAGTTAGGAGGCTTCCCTAGTGTCTTATTTCATTTCTGTTCTGTTTCTTGTTTACTTCAATTCAAAGTACTAATCCATACCTACAAAGCATTGAACAATTCTAGCCCCTCCTACATCTCTTTACTGATTCATAGGTTTGCCCCTTCTCTGTCTCTATGCTCTGCCCATGACCTTTTCCTGTTTGCTGCTTGCGCCCGTACGGCCAACTCATGCTTGCAGGACTTCTCGTGGGCAGCTCCCTTCCTATGGAATAGCCTGCCTACCACCATCATCCCCTAGTCTTCAATCTTTTAAGAAGTGCCGTAAAACCTATCTCTTTAGGAAAGTTTATGGCATCCCAGAGTAACCTCTACCTCACATACCTGTCTCTTGCTCTCTTCTAAAGGGCAGCACTTCACTCTCTCCTCCAGCTCTGCTTTACTCCCGCCCTTTTTGATTGCTATCTTTTGTCCTCAGGGACGTATTAACCGCGAGGCAAACAAGGCATTTGCCTTGGCGGCATTTTCCAGGGGGTGGCAAATAAAGTCGCCCGCAAATGCCCAGGGCAAATGTCTTGTTAGCCTTGCGGCTAACAGTCTAGGCAGGCGGACGGCTAAGTAAAAATCTGTGCGGGCTGCGCTGGTGAGGGAGCACTTTCCCCTGAGCTCTCTGCTCAACTCCCTCGCGCACCGCAGAGTGGTGCCGGGAGCCAGAATATGACGTTAGGGCAGCACAAAACCAGGATACACCACTACCTGTCCTGTTGTGTTTTTTACCCCACCTCCTATAGACTGTAAGCTCGTTTGAGCAGGGTCCTCTTCAACGTATCGTTCATGTAAGTTTTTTGTAATTGTCTTATTTATTGTTAAACCTCCCCCTTTTATAATATTGTAAAGTGCTACGAAATCTGTTGGCGCTATATAAATGCCAATAACAATTACAACAACAACAACAATTTAATATCCGCAGATAGGTGATAACGGTGGCTTATTGGTTCGGGGTAAGCCTTTTAACAGTTTGGATCAATACAATATTGCAAATTTAAGGCGTATCTGGAGCCAATAAATTTCAGTTTGATTGACTTAGCATTTTGGAACATTTAAAAAAGTTTCAAAAATGTTCCAAACCTCTCATATGGTTTCCATATTTTGTATTCGGTGATTCAATAACATTTAAGAAGCATTTACTGATCCTGATTTGTGCTTATCGAATTTGACAGCAAAAAACTGTTAATAAATGGGTTTTCATGCATAAAAACTAGAAAATTCCAACAAACATGGGAGGCATGTCAACTAAACAGTGTGGGCATGTTAACTAAACATTGGAAGCATGCCTCCTAAAATAACTGTGGGCATGTTAACTAAACAGTGTGGGCAAATCAACTAAACGGTGAGTGCATATCTACCAAACGGGAAAATGTCTACAAAACAGTGTAGACATGTCTACTAAACTGTGCATGCATAGTAAAGAGTGAGGTGATGTGCACTAAACAGTGAGTGTTTGTCTACCAAACAGTGAAAACATGCTTATGAACCAGTGAGGTTATATCTACTAAACAGTGGGCAGCCAACAGCTGCTCCCTGTAATTAAAATCTAGATACTGAACAGTTATTGCAGCACAGATACCTTTACCTCCATGCTGTCACCATGCTCAGTAATCAACATCTATATTGTGCAGACCACGGTAGGTGCAATGTATGTTACTGGTGACTTTTTATGTTTGCTAGTTTTATGGCTACAATTAATGCATCTAGTGCAATTAGTACAACATTGAGGTCTATGGCAAATCCTTCAAGATCACAGGATCTTCCTTAGACAGAGACAATCTCTAGTGATTGCTGGGGAATTGACACTTCTAGGCGGCGGTTGCTCCACTCAATGTCTACAATTGTCAGATGTAGGAACAATTCTGAGCCAAAGTGGTCCCTACTTTGTCTCTGTTTATTGTTTTGACTAGGTTGCAATGTCAGTGAAATTCCAACCCAGTTAATATGAGTATTTCATAAAGATTTTATCTTAATGAAATACTCATTTTGCAGGGTGCGTGACAATATGCAACAACTTTATCTACACATACCCAACTGTGAAATATTACATACATTTACAAAAACTAATTCATAAAATCACTGCACATGCATATACGAAAGTAAAACTACAAACTTGTCTTACTGAAACGCACACATGTCACTCGTTGAGATCATCAATACCCAACAAAGGGAAATCCGTAATGCCATTTCATTGAGGAGAGGAGTTATTTTAGCATGGTTCCTCAGCAGCATCAGGGACAGCAGAGCAGAGTGGGCTAGCCACGCAGACCACTGAGGAGACGCAGGGAGCCTAACATGTTCTGCCAGAGAGTTTTATTAGAATCCTTGAAAACTGTAGAAACAGTGGAGAGATTGCATTCATAATGATGGCATTCATAATGATGACTCGAGGAATAGGCCAGTAGCTAGGATGACCCAGATGTTGAATTTCTTGCATATGGCAGTTTCCACAGGACTGAGGGTGTTGTGAGTGGAATATCTCAGTCCACCTTCTCCAATGTCATATGTTTATATCCTCTCCCTCAACCAGTGAAGGGATTCCTATAGAAGGGGATGATTGCCCAATGTCCTTGGAGCCATAGATTGCACCTATGTGACTCCAAGTTACCCCAATATCAAGAGGCATGATATAGAAACTGCAACGTGAAAGCTGTTTGCAATCATTTCCGATATATTTTATTGACACAATAAAATCTGAATACCAGTTGAAATATTTATAGGTGGTCAAAATTCGGATGACATTAGATCAAGTCAGAATTTGGAGAAAAACTGATGCCGAAGCTAGTTGATCATTTTCAATTGTTTTTTTTTAAACTCATTGACCCCATTACTAAGTAAAGACAGTTCAGTTGATAGAGAGTGACTCTAATGTCTACATGGTCATAACTAATAAACAAAAATTGTGGCAAAAGAAAATATTTAAAAATGCACTACAAAAACAAAACAGAGCTATTGTTTTACATATCTTAAAAAAGTTATATTGCTAATGAATGCATGTGGCAAATTGACTATAACACTTATATCACAATTGTCCCATCATTTATTCTGTATGAAAACATCCATATTTTAGGATGTGAATTAAAGGAAACATGTCATTATACTGTATTTCTTAAAATAAAAGTTTTCATAGCCTAGCTGTGTAATATTATTTAAAGAAAATGTGAATAACCATTTATGAGATGCTTTCATGTTGTCATGATTCACCTCTTCAGTACCTGTGCAGTTCTTTTGGCCAGGTAGGCTGTGCTCCTCACTATAAAGGATATAAGAGATGGCTGTCCACATAGCAGAAAAAGATTAAGATCCACAGGGTACAAGGCAGGTTAGCAGTTTGTGGTCCCTTTTTATTCTTTATATAAGCATAGGCAAGACAGAAGATGCACCGAAAAAATGTATTCACATATACAGGTACATACACATTACAAAATAATACACACAGAGGCTAAAATACATGCAATGTTTTATTTCATGTGATAGCCATTTTGTTTTTAATCAATAATAAAAATGACAGATTTCCCTTATTTATTTATTTTTTTTTAAATAGAGGGCATATACAATAAACGCTGGCAAAGATGGATTCAGATTAGAGATCATTATATATAGTACAGACTCAACAACTACATCTTTAAATACATAAAAATATAATTGTAAATATACAAATTAGATATGATAATATTTGTAGGCCCGATTCTGTTCGTGTTTTTTTTCTGGGGGGGGGGTTGTGGTCTCTTATAAAGCCCTTTTCAAGAGTTTGCTGGCTGAGAATATAGCAATGTAACTTACTATATGAATATTCTATAGAAATCGAGAAGTGAGCTACAGGTTATGGTTATGTTCATTCACAGTTAAAGACTGGTCATTTTATGTCACCACTAATTATGTCACCAAACAACATCAGAACAATGGACTGATTTAATGCTCAAAGCAAATCATATTGGAAACCATACTAAAACACATTTCCACCTTAAATGTATCTTGAAGTATGAGATTATTATTCACTGACTTTTAGATAAAAGCTTTTTGCATATAGATTCCTCTTTTTATGCTAAATGGTCTCTTATTTTATGCAAATACAGCTACCAACCTTGGAAAGATAGCAGAAGGATGTTAGTGGATGTCACTTGAAAGTACCTGGATATTTACAGAAGTGCATAATAAAGAATTGATTGTACATTCATTTTTTATGGAGTGTTAAACAAAATGAACCTTCAAATAAAAGATAAATGCTAAGGCACTTATGCCAAGGATGTTCAGACCAGTTTAAATCTGCTAGTCTGTCTTTGGCTGTGTTTGGCAGAATTTGGCGTTATTTTGCAAATATCTCACAAAAATTAAGGGATGGCTGCAAACATGTCTTGGAATCTAGAACCTTTACAGCACGAAGTGAGAATTTATTTTTCCTACAATTTATAAACTGATAAAATATCCAGTATCAGATTATTTAATAGTTTAATATGTGCATATTTTTCCTTACTAATATAATTTTCATGTATGTGTTTATAGCTTCCAGTTGTGTTTGGAGCATATAGATTAAACTGTTTGAGAAAGTGTCTGTAAGTGTTCTTAATATGTTGTTGTGCTCCGCGTCCACAATGTGTGTCTATAAGAAGCATTTGATTGGTCACTGCCCAGTAAAAACAAGAAATGAATTTAAAAGAATTCCAGAAACTTGTAAATGCATGCTGCTTCTCAACATGCATTAAAAAAATGCATTCTCTAATATAGACATTCCCTTAAAACTGAAC